CTCCTATTTTATTGCACAAACTGTGGTACTTTTGAGAGTGGCCATTGCTAAACCTGATGCTGGGGATGCTGGGACACAGGCATAAACCAGAGCTGTCCAGGACCATTGGGATACCTGCTCAGCCTATGTAGATAAGTGTTGCTTATTAATAATATTTATAAAATGCAAGTAAAAAAGCTCAGGGCCCTAGTCCCCAGTTCCTCCCAAGGCTTTACTCACAAACAGACACCAGCAGTGCTTGTGAGCACCTTGGGATGCTGTTTCCCTCAAACAGAACAGCCTCAGGCCAGCCACACTCTGGGGACTTCACAAATCTCACGGTAGTTCTGATTTCACTCTCCAAAAATAAGAATGCACAATGATGAAAAACAGCTACCTTACTGTACCTACAAACAGGACAGGATCCTGGGGGATCACAGTCAGCTTGGTTCTGAGGTCTTCCAGACCAACGGTGCAGATATCCACTTCATCAATGAAGATCGTACCACTGGCTGGCTCCACCAGACGAAACAAAGCCATTCCTAATGATGACTTTCCTGGGAACAATAAAAGCAAGAAAAACAAATCAAACATCAGTATGTACTTCCATCATATCCAAGCATTTAATTAGGGGAATTTTTAATGCATTGAAAATGGCCCTGTGTGGATGACTGTGCAGACAGACATTACTCACTCTGGGGGAGAGAAGAGGACGAGAGTAGATGTGGGAGGGTGGGTTGCCCTAACACAGTTAACCTGCCCATTCCTGCAGAGGCCATTAGCACACAACTCATCCTCTGGGCCTTGTTTCACCAGAATGATTCTCATTTAATTAATTCAAAAACTGATGTGCATTTGATTCCATCTCTACACACCCATCCAACCTGAAATCCTAATTTACAGTAAAGAGATTTGAGGGGGAAAGCAGCCAATCCGACACACATACACATCACTCTCTGGTGTGGCTTAATTAGCACATCCAGTGGAAATTCAAAGAAAACAACCTAAAAGAAACATAAGCAGAGCTTGTCCTCACCGGAACCTGTTCTTCCAACTATCCCAACTGTCTGCCCACTTTGGATATTCAAGTTCAGCCCATCGAGAACAAGGGGGGTGTTGTCTCTGTATCTCATCTGATAGTCTCTGAAGGTTATTTCCCCATGGCTGGGCCAGTCCTTGGGACAGGTCCCCACTTTGAGGGAATGAGTGGATTCAGGAACACAGGTCTGAAAAAGAGAATAACCAATGACAGGTTAATAGCCATTCATTTTTCCATTCATTTCATTCATTCATTCACTCACTCATTCATTCATTCACACAATTTTAGTGTTCATGGTGGTGAACTAGACCAATAAAGAAGCTGCACTCAAGGAACTCACATTCCTGTGAGGATGTCAGAGAATAAACAAGAAATAAAATCAGAAATGAAGAAAGTAAAACAGAGTATTGCAATGGAATACAGACTGTGACTTGTGTGGTAGGTTGGAACAAAGGGAGTAAAAGTGCTTGAGAGTTGAGGAAGGCATCTGTGAGGGTGTGACATTGGTGCTGAGACCTGGAGTGCTGAGAAGATGCCAGCTACAAGAGGATTTGAGGCCAGAGCCTTCTAGACCAGTGTGTGTGGGGGGGAGGGTGAATGAAGGGAGGGTGCAGCTAGTGCAAAGGCCCTGAGGCCAGAATGAGCTTGGGCAATTTGAGGAACAGAAAGAAAAGTCATGTGGCTGGAGTTTGGTAAATAGAGAGATGGATGACTTAGAGGAATAAGCAAAAGGTAGCTCACACTGGGCCTTGTAGGCCCAGGCAGGTGTCCAAACTGTGACCAGGAAGCTGCATGAAAAATCCAGATTGAACCTTGAGATTTGCAGTGTTCAATCAGGTACAATTTCAATACCTGCAAGAGTCATCATAGTGCTAGAGGTCAGAAGATGAATAGAACTCAGGATGTCAAGTTCAAAGGTCTTTAGAGTTAAATGAAAAAGACATTTAAGTTTCCTAGAGTCCAAGAAATGCAAAGTCTATTTGAGGATAAGAGCGGCTTGGTTTCATTACAACACCAACCCTTCCGTTGAGTTACGAAGTCCCTGTTAACAACCAGAAGTAGGAATCCATGTGCCCCATCAGCATGGCTGACCAGCTCAAATCTCTGGTTGATAAGCAACCTCAACTAATTAAGAAAATAATTGTATTCTTAGAGAGTATTTTTAACCCCTAGAAGTCCCTGTTAACAACCAGAAGTAGGAATCCATGTGCCCCATCAGCATGGCTGACCAGCTCAAATCTCTGGTCGATAAGCAACCTCAACTAATTAAGAAAATAATTGTATTCTTAGAGAGTATTTTTAACCCCTAGAAGATTTAGTATGAAGAATAAAAATATGTAAGAGAAGAAAAACTGTAACAGTAATATTTTTAGTTTAAGGAATCCACATACTTGGTGTTTCAAGTATCCATAATATTAATAGAATTAGGGCTTGTGATTCTATTTTAAAATGTATAATTGAATAATTGATTTAAATGTGATTTTAAGTTAAACACTTACTGTTTATATATGGCATTGGAACTGTCATGAGAACTTAAAGCTCACTATATTTGTAAGTTTATTAGATTTATACTAACTCAGGAAGATTAGCTTGTTAAATTAGATCATTGAGGTACTTAAAAAGGAGATTAAATGTATGAAATTTAAAAGTACAGTTTAAAATATTTCAAAGCATTTAATTAAGTTTGTAAATGGGGCCAAACACTATTCAAAGGCCTGTAAAAGTGATTGCTAGAATTGGAATTGTCTATACTTCTTTTCAAAGAATAGCAGGACTTGCAAGTTGAATATAAAAGCTTTTAAAGAAGAGTTAGAGTGTTTTTTCTCCATTTATAACTTTAATCAATCAAATATTAGCTTTTATAAATCAAAGTAAGCCACTGAATTGTCTTTGCATATAGAAACTGTACTTGAGGAATTTTTTTTAAAAAAAGAACTTCACTTTCAACATTAAGGACTTTGATTGTCTTGTAAATACAGGTTTTTAAAAGAAGGGTGACTGGTCAGATTTCGGTGTTTAAAAAGATCCGTTTCACATATAAAAAGATCAAATATTTGTATGAGTTCTGCCAGAGTTACCTTGTCTCTCCTCTTTGAGGCACTAATGTCTTACCAAAATATACTCCCTTAGCAGCTCCACGGAGGTGAACTTGGCTTGAGTCTCCGTTCCTGTTCGCACACACACTTGGAGCAGGCCACTTAGCTGTTGTAAAGGAACAAGCAACCACAGTTAGAGCCCTTTCCGCCTTCGGGTTCTGCTGTTCTGCCTTTCAGGGGGCAGCCCTTGTGAACCACCCCTCCGCTGCCTCACTCAGGACCTCACAGAAAGGAGGCCCAGTGTTCCCAGCGAGTGCCCAGAAGTAAAGATATTCCTGGTGGAGTGTTTTCCCTTTAAACACTTCCTTTGTATTTAGAAACAAATGGTAATTGCATTTTTTTCCTGGCACTCCAGATGGTGAGAATCATCCCACCACAGATCCACTTGGTCACATGCTTCTTTGAACGGTGGGAATTCGCACAGACGGGGATCGGCCCCTTGCTGCCACCTGGTGGGGTCCAGCATCTTGGTGCCCTCCCTGCTCTACTCCACCCTCGGCCAAGAAGCAACTGAAAACCTAATCACCATAAGAAACCAAAAAAAACCCTGAAGCCCATCAGCTTGCTATGGACTTGGAAACATCAAAGCTCAAACTGGGAGATGTGGCTCACTGAGGTCACCCACCTCAGGCCAGGCCGGGATCCTCAGATGGCAACGCTGAGATTTGGTTGCAAGGAGTGTATTAGGACAGGTTGAATGGTACCCCCACCCCCAAGAGATATGTCCACATCCAAATCCCTAGAACCTGCAAAGGTATCTCATTTGGAAAAAGGATCTTTGCAGGTGTAAGGATTTTGAGATCATCCTGGATTACCTGGGTGGGCCCTAAGTCCAGTAGCAAGTGTCCTTGTAACAGACAGAGGAGGAGAGAACATGGAGGAGAAGGGAATGTGAAGGCCGAGGCAGAAATAGGAGTGACAAGACAAGGAATGCCAGATGGCCACCAGAGCTGGAAGAGATAAGGAACAGATTCTCCCCTAGAGCCTTCAGAGGGAGTGTGGCCCTGTCAACACCTTGACTGTGGACTTCTGACCTCCACAACTATTTTAAGCCAGAACTCTCATTTTAATCCACCAAGCTTGTGGTAATTTACTACCGCAGCCCTAGCAATCTAATGCAGATGGTGAACCCAGGAGGTACTGATAGGGAATGGGAGAAATAAGGCAGGGAAGAGAGGGCAGCCCATACAGGGTGTGTTCATGAGAGGTTACCACTGTGGGCAAATCAGACTCAGTCCCACTGCGAGCTCTGGGAGACTGGAGGCAGCACACCTCAGAGTTGCCCATGCCAGGGCAGGGAGGCTGGGGTTCATATCCTCTGACTCCCTTCAGTCATTGCTGAGGCTGCTCCTGAGTGTGAGAACTCCCTGCACTTCCAGCCTGCCTCAGGCTTGTACTGGCAGTAGATGGCCCACTGGCATGCCATGAAAGGGCTGGGCACCAACAGCACCTGCCTCAGTCATCAAGGGGGCTAGAGGCAGGACCAGGCTTATTTATTAGGTAACATAATTACTGAGTCATGGCTATGGGCCAGGTACTGGTTGGGGCACTGGTTTCCCAGGGTTGAACGTGACAGACAGAATTCCTTCACTCATGGGGCTTCCGTTTTAGTGGACCAGCAGCATGGTGTACAAGGCAATTTCAGGAGTGATAAGAATGTCAATAAAACAGTATGATGCGGGAGAGGGGCTGGGGTGTTACCTTGGAGAGGGGGGTTAAGGAAGACTGTGTCAGCTGAGGCATTTATGATGAGAAGTCTGTCATGCAACTCTGGGTAAGAAAGTTCTGGTAAGAAGCAATGGCCTTAACAGAAAGGGGGCAGTGGGGCCCGAGCAGGTGAATGAGGTGGGGAGCAGTGTGGTTCCAGACCCTGAGAGCTGCCCCCTGCAGGCCTCCCCTGCTACCTCCCTGCTTAACGCAGGCTGATGGCTCCCCATTTCTCGTAGAGCAATAGCTCCCAACCTGGGTGATTATGCCCCCCAGGGGACATTTTTGGTCATCACAACCTGGGGAAGTAATACTGACATCTTATGAGTAGAATGTGAAGCCAGGGAGGCTATTAAACACCCTACAATGCACAGAATGGCCCCTCACTAGAAAAGGAGTATCTAGCCCAAATGTCTGCAGTGCTGCAGCTGAGAAACCTCTTCTTAGAGAATGGGTGATACCCCTAAAAAAGCTTACAAAGCTCTACATCTTCTGCCCCTGCCAACCCCTCAGACCTTGTTTTCTACCACTCTGCTCAAGCCACGTGGACTTCTCAGAGCTTCAGACACACCAAGCTCATGTCTACCCCTGAGCCCGTCTCTGGCTCCTCTGCTAGAAGCTCTCTCTTCCAGTCTTCCTCGGCTGACTTTTTATTACTCGGGCCTCAGCTTGGAAGTCACCTCCCAGCAGAGGCTTCCTCTGATTGCCAGATGTAATGTTGCTTCCCCCGCCAACCCCCCGATAGTCATGTTATTAGGCCTCACAATCAGCTTAGCATAAGCACAGCCATGTTAACTACATCTTCCCCTTGCCCCCTCCCTTTCTCTTAAGCAAAGTGCTTTCTGAGAAAAACCAGGTTTTGTGCAAAGCAGAATCTTGTGCAGAACAGGAAAACCACAGAGCTGTTCCAAGTGCTGAATGCTCAGAATATCTACCAAACCCCTTCCCCAAATTCAAAACCCTATAAAACCCCTAACTAGTCTGTGCAGGGGCGAGAACTGATCTTTCAGTCCCTCCTCCAGGTTTGCTGGAAGTAAACTCCCTGACATGGTAAGTGTTTGGCTCGGAGTCCTTTACTCCCTTTGTCTTGCCGACCTGACACACGTTATCCCACTTTCTTATCTTCGTGACACTTAGAAGCCTTCCAAAGCTTTCTCGTTTATTTACTCGCCCCCTTATTTATTCCAGCTGCCTACTAGAATGTAAGCTCCATGGGAGCAGGGATCTGAGCAGCTGTTCACTGCTGAATCCACTAGCATAGTTCCTGGCTCACCGTAGGTGCTTAGTGGATATGAAGTGAATGAATGAACCTTGAGAAGGGCATATACGTATTTTGTCAAATGCAAGAGTATCAGCTCCTGAAGGCCTGGGCAGCCCTCCCAGGTTTAGAATTCCCACACGGGCAGTGCTCTTCTCCACCATGGATGTTATACACTGTTACTTTGCATTCACTTCCTGCTCTGTGGGATTTCACACCAATTTCTCATCCATCTAGGAAGTCTCCTTTATTCTACAGTGGAGCTCTGTCATTTTGATTGTGTTCTCCAAAGGGGGCTAATGATCAATAAAGCTACAAAGCCAGCTGGAGAAGAAGCATTCCCATAGATCTCAATGTGTGAAATTCTTTTCTGACCTTACAGGAATGTTTGAAAACAATCTCAGGGAAAGACGATAATAATGCCCTAAAGCATGACCTTAGTTGGGGAAAGCTGTTTTACTTGGACCAATTAAGGGAAACCGTTCAGCATCATCTGTTTGGTATTTTACTAGGCAACAATAAATGAAAACATCCATCACTGAGGGAAACCGGCTATCCAAGGAAAATTCATTTTTTCCCACTTAAGAGAGAGTACTGAGAATACATTTAAAATATTACAAAAATATTGGAGAAAGTTTTTTACAAAAAGAAGGAAAGAATAGACCTTTAACAGCAAGGGGGTTGGGAAGAGATACCATTTAATGAGAAAATTACAAATTTCTGTAAAAATGGAAAGAGGATGAAAGGCTTTTGATAAAATGGAAGCAGAATGTGCCAGAAGGGCTTAAAGAGCCTTCTGTCTGGCAGAACCCAGACAGGCTCCAGGTGTGAGAAGGGGGCCCTCAAAGAGTCTGGCTGATTGATTGTCTGCAGACAATAACTCCCCTCCCCCTCTCCTTTCTCCCCAAGGGCTTAAAGAGCCTTCTGTCTGGCAGAACCCAGACAGGCTCCAGGTGTGAGAAGGGGGCCCGCAAAGAGTCTGGCTGATTGATTGTCTGCAGACAATAACTCCCCTCCCCCTCTCCTTTCTCCCAACTAGAAGTAGTTTGACACTTTATCCCTAAGCGTGAGAACACACGCACACGCACAATTTTCTCTAAAAGATATTAACTACCTGGGGACAAATGGGGCTCTGAAAATAGTACCCTAGAAAAAATAAACCCCTTTAAATCTAACATTTGGGTACCCAAAGGCCAGCTCCCTGGCTGTTTTCCTAAAGTGAAGCCAGCCTGTGGAAAAGTCCCCCACCCCTATAGTTATAAAACTTCCCATCAGGAGAGATCTAGCAAGGCATATACAAAGGCAGAGGAAACCCTGAAAACTCAACCCAGTCCCCCATCCTCAAGTACAAGTAGATTAAGGAACAGATGAACAAAACCAATGGCATGAAAGAGTGAGACAGACAAAAAGAAAAACTGATGCTGGAGAAAAACAGACGTAAGCCAAAAAAGAGAGGTGAGTTTAGGACAGAAAAAACCTGAACTTTTATTAATATTAATATCCTCAGAGAGATTCAAGAAATATATTGCGTACAAGAGGAACAGGTAAAGGGTCATGAAAAATGACTACAATGTATACTGAGAAGTTAAATAAATAAATAAATACATACATACATACATGCATACATACATGATTGTTTTAAGAACTGAGAGAATAAGAAAGAGCTTGTGCAAATTAAATACTAATACATGAACATACTCATATGATTACCAAATTTAAAATTCAAAAGAATGGCTGAATAACAAGGCTAAAGAAAATTCCTGGAATAAAGATAAAAAGACAAAAAAAAAAAAAAAAAGGAAACTTGGGCCAGCCCGGTAGCGCACTGCTACAGTGCGCCGCTTGGGAGTGCGGCGGCACTCCTGCCGAGGGTTCGGATCCCACATACAGACCGGCCGCTCACTGGCTGAGCGTGTAATGGGAGCAACACCGAGGGTTGCAATCCCGTTGCCGGTCCCGGTCCGGTACGGGCGCGACACTGAGGGTTGCGATCCATTGCCGGTCATGAAAAAAGACAAAAAAAAGAAAAAAAAAAAAAAGGAAACTCTGAGATAAAAGAAAAGAAACGTAGAGGATTGATGCAAGAAATCCAATATTCAAACAGTATAAGTCACTGAAGAAAAAACACAGAAAAGGAGGAAATCATCAAAATGAAGAAGAAAAAGAAGAAATTATTCTGAGCTGAAGAGAGATTGACTGTAATTGAAAAGAACCCACAGCATCGAACAGGCACATTGTCCTGGAACTCTGCAGCACCAAGGATAAGG